GGACGCAAGTTTACGACAGCAATTGTGGACGAGGTGGACAGCATGCTGATTGATGACAGCTCGAAAATCGCTCGTTTATCGTCAACGATTTCAGGCATGGACCACTTCCAAGCAATTTATGTGTTTATTTGGCAACGCCTGATTTCGATCAAAGAGAAGTTTATAATGTTCAACAGTAAGTTGTACTTCGTCGACGGCAAAGTTGGTTTCGAAGACGGGAAGATAACCTTGGAAGTTGTTGACAGCAATAATGACATTGGGAAAATTCCTGATTTGGAGGAGTATCTTGTTAGAGCAGGTGACAAAAGTCAAGTTGGCGAGTATGTCGGTGACGATGTGGATGAGTATCTGAGGAATTCTTTAGAACATTATCTGGATTGCCAAATCAAAGAAAACAAGATTTACGTTCCCAGTAATTTCGCGGATTTCCTGCAAAAGCAGAAGCCAAAGTGGATCACGAATGCCGTCGAAGCTTTGAACTACCAGGAAAACGTTCATTACGTGGTTCAAGACGGAGAAATCAAGCCGGTTGATTATTACAGTACCGGTATTGTTCAGAGTTCCACCAGTTGGAGTGACGGATTGCATCAGTTCCTTCAGCTGAAGCACAATTTAAAAATGACCAGTGAGACGATTACTACCAACTTCTTATCGAACATGGGGTTGATGAACAAGTACGAGCAAGTGTACGGCCTGACCGGAACGCTCGGCTCGGAGACTGCCAGAGGTGTCCTGAAGAAAGTTTATGGTGTTGATCTAATTAACATTCCGCAGCGGCGGCAAAAGCAGTACCTGGAATTGGAATCGATTGTTGCAGAAGGCGAGGCCAACTGGCTGAAGGAAATAATGTCTAACATTATCCACGAGATTCAGAAGGATCGAGGAATTTTAGTAATATGTGAAACAATTGAGAACACGAACCGGATTAGCGGGATGCTGAAAAATAAGCTGCCGCCGAGCTCAGTCAAGTTGTATGCAATGAACGACATGAACCAGGAGAAGAACGTGGAGAAAATTTTACCCGGTGAAGTTATAATTGCGACAAATTTGGCCGGAAGAGGCACCGACATACAGACCGACGAAATTGAGGCGACGGGGGGTTTGCACGTGATTTTGACATTCATGCCCAGCAACCAGCGAGTTGAAGATCAAGCATTTGGCAGAACTGCCAGGCAGGGCAAGCGTGGCACCGGCCTCATGATTCTAAATGGTCATCACTTGGTCGGTTACGCAAGCACAACAACAACAAAAAGTATGAAGATGGATCGTGATGGAATTGAGTCAGAGCAACTTAAGAATTTTCAAGACTTCGAGCTCAAGCCGATTCAAGTGAAAGACAAAATGTTTGACGTATTTTGCGCATTTCTAAACGACGAAATACGCCTCAGGATCAGACAGGAGCAGGACACTTACGGAAATCGCGTGATGAATTCGTTCACCGAAGTTCCACCGACCATGTATGAGTGCAGCGTGCTCGCAGCTGTCGAAGAGCAATGGGCAGGTTTCTTGAGCAAGCTAGACGAGAAGGTGATAAAATGTGAAGATGCCGAGACCAAGTGCCAAGAACTGATTAATCAGCTAAGGCAAGACTTTGTGGACAATAGCGTAATCAAAAATCCTTATCATTACATTTGCATTGCAAATGACATGCTTGCGAATCAGTCACCGAAGGCTGAACAGGTGAAACGAGCTCTCAGCTATTTCGAGAAAGCTGTTGAACTGGAACAGAAATCAGGATCGAATAAGGGTGACGAGTCTTTATACTGTCCCGGAGCTGCGCATGCAGGCAACGATCGGTTTACCGTTACTCAAAGGTGTTCTGTCTGACCCGAGCAGGTGTGGAAGCAACGCGAGTATGGCTATCAGAGTTATCGGCACGCTCAACGGTCTCCATCAGGTGCAAACACTGACTGACAACGTTGTCAAAGCATTAGTGACAAAGCTCAGGCGTATGTATAGCAGTTTTATGACGATTAGTCTAGTATTCCACAGACATCTCAAGATTAAAAAGGTCAATACGGCATTAATTGCCGATAAGCTCAAGCAACTCCACATATTCGACGATGTCGACAATTTTAACGTGTCCCAGAGTGACTTGGTCAATGTGTCCAAAGAGCTCAAGAGAAAGATAGACGAGTTCTCGGAAGAAGAATTTGGAAACGATGACAGGGACTCGATGACGGCTGACGTTGGCAAAAGCATTGCTTTCATAGAGAGTTTCTATGCGAAATTTGTCGAAATTGATTTAGAGTCGTTCAGCATGATGATGAAGTCTGTGTCGGACCAAATAGCCGAACAGTTGATACGGGTGATGGACTCGCAACTGTTGCAGCCGTGGTCAACACTGGCTGTGAGTAACCTCAGTGCCGCGGGTTCCAAGCGACTGCAGCACTACTGCTTCGTGGATGAAGAGCAAAATTCAGACAGTCACAAGGCAGATCAGAAGAAGTACGAAGAACTGAAGGAAAAAAAGGATTTGACAACGGCCGAGAGGTCTTTTATGGCTAACTACGGCAGATTTAGAACGTTTGAAGAGCAGATCAAGTACAACAGCATGGATTATTGCGAGGCGTACAGTCAGTGTGAAATGGCCTACCATGCAGGCCAAGATGGCGGCCACCATGGCCAGGGCACGCCGGACGCGAATGTTAAACAAATCGCGGATGGTGTTCGGGCCGGCGGACCGACCAATCTTGCCACAATGATAGCAATGGCTAAAGGAATCGGAGTCAACTTGAAAGTGGTGGACGATGAACGTTACGTCAGGACGCAGGAAGACATTGACAACGGGGTTCAAGTGATGTACGTGAAACATGGTCCGAATGACGAGGTTGGTCACGCGTATTACATGAACAGCAACGGTCAGTTCAGTGAAGCACCGTCAGTAGGCTACGACTCCGCGTTTGCTGCCTTCAGTAAAATTCTAGAAAGTAACGGGATCAGCAAATCTGTCAGTGATCTCCGAGTTGAAGCAGCTGACCGTATAGAATCGAATTCCACAAGCTTTTTGAAAGTGCTTTCTGCTGAAAATTGGATTAGGAAGACGAAACCTGATTCGGCTAACAAACTATTATTCACTGCCGGATTGTACAGAGATGCTGATGGCGTATTAAGAGTAGAACCTGGTGATGCTGTTGCCCTTGCCGATGCAATAAGTAAAAAAAATGAGCATCCTCGTGGTGGAAAGTTTGCCAAAATATTTAAGGTAAACATTTCTCAAATTTCGATTTTCAAATGTCTGAGTTGAATCTTAATTACTCTTCACTTTTTCAGTTTGCGATTCCTCGTAATATCCCCGACTCACCAACAGAGAAATCCGTTCTTCATATAATTCCATATAACCAACGTGATGCCGCTGTTCGGGTTCACGACACAAGACAGGCTACAGACACTGCCGCCGAAGCAGAAACGAGGCTAGAACCACTTCGAGCACAGTTGGAAAATTTCGTAAACGAAGAACACATGAAAACCATCATCGAGGGTAAAATTGATGACCAAGGTCGACTGATGCATGAACGTCAACTGATGAACCAAGGGGACGTCGGTACTTTTCTTCACACTGCAATTTCGTACAATCCCAATAATTTAGCCAGAGATTTCGTTTGGAAGTTTCGTGGCGACAAGAGACTTGGCGAGTCATCTGTGGAGAAGGAGGGCGCCTGCGGTCCTAAACTGGAGGGGATGGGTGCCAGGCTCAAAAAGAATGCAGGACAGGAAGCTCATGCAGAGAGTGGCGGTGAGGAGGACACCTGGGGAAGGTTTTCTATTTCTCTCCAAATGGAATCAATATTTCGTGTTGCAGAGGTTGTGGTGTCGGTCATGATCCTTTTGTCCATCATATATCTTATCAGGGCACTTACTCTCTGAAAACGCACGAGTTTTTCGTAAAATCTTTATTTACAGTCTGGTCAATAAAAATATTTTTTTTTACAAAATGCATCGCCTTTATTCAGTATTTTTGTGCAGGGATCTGTGGAACTGTGGACACTGCGTCTGGGATTTGCCTGGAAATTTCAGAAGCACAAGGTTTTCCGGTTTAAAAATCGATCAGACAAACAAATAATGTAAAAATTATATTTCACTTCCAATGAAAAAATCTGAAAATCAGGAAAAAATATTACTAATTTCTAGCTTATTGATCACCATACTCCTTTTAGCAATTGTCGTGCACCCCGTCTAGCGTCGTGACAGCGACAGTCGAAATAGGGGTTACAAATTCAAGAAGAAGGTGGTTCAAGAATAAAAATTTTACCTGCCAAAAAATGCGGATCAAAACCCATAAGATGGGCATACCAATGAACAACAAACTCTGGGATGATATAAGAGTGAAGAAGACGGTTTACTCGAATAAAAAACCGATGGAAGCGAGAACGACAAGTCTATCAAATAAATCTCTGTTGCACCAACTATTTGCACACACCCGGGTGTCGTACCCGCGAGGGCACGACACCAACTTTAGCTTTGCCAACTTGCAACCATTTTCATCGTGGTTATGTGAACCCCCTGCAGTACAACCCCGAATCCTTTTTTAGGAGAGGGGGGTCGCGGGGATGTCCCCCGGCGAAAACAGAACTGCAGTGATTGCTGAAGTGATGAATACGTTAGGAGAGACAAACTGGGACTATAGAAGCAGTTGGCAACCTTCAACGCCTGCAATTTTTCGTCGCACTCGGAACCAGCGGGCATAACCGCCCCGAGTGGGCCAGAACCGCTCTGGCCAGATCGGCTCCTGCAGAGTTCCTGTTCCTACCTCCACAAAAAATCTATCCATATGTTTTCTGTGGGGCACGCCATTTGATCTGTCTATTATGAAACGAACAGCAGACGGCTGCCTCCTGCTGATATCAACAGTAAACTTCGTTTTTTTTTTCTTCCCAGTTTTTTTATGATTTCAACGAAAAGAAGTGATCTAATCTGTTTGTAGACTTTTGATTAACTATTAATTAATCAACTGGTTTATTTGGTTCGGCATTTTACTGTGAAACTGCAATTTGGCAGCCTGGGAACCTTGCTTCGCGTCCTCCGGTGAGATAATTTTAGTTGCTTCACCTGATTTTGGACTTAAACGGTCACAGAAGGTTCGAATAAACGGAAGTTGTTGATAAATAACATGGAGGTATTGAGTTAGTGTACCAGTAGGGAAACCGGTTGACTCTTGATCTCTAACATGAAAACGAATCCAACTGGGGAGTCGACTGGTTTCCCTACTGGTGCCGTTCAGTATTGTGAATTCTTACCCTCACTCTACACTGCGATTCACTAATTCATTCCAGGCTTGCCAACCAAAAATTTTTCATTCGGTCACTCAGATCCTCAGTGGCGGTCATTCCCGGTCATTTGTATTTTTTGTAGATGAATTCAAATAACACCGATAGTGGAATATGAAATATTGAAGTGAGATTGTTGAAGAAACTATTTAGAAAAGTTGTAATTAATGGATAATCGCAAAGAAACTGGTCACCTATTGAAATGTAAATGAGCTGCCAGAAAAAGTTTAAATTTTCTTGCTACAAACTCAGGAATTTTCGGTGTTTTTTTGCTATTTGAGGGCTTACGGTCACGATTCGGTCAAATTTAAGCCCATGCTGGGCAATTTTTTCACTGGTCTTTTCACGGCCACTGCAGGTTTATGACAGGCAACGAAGACCGCATTCGGTCTCAGTTGGCAACCATGAAATTTCATTGCCTCCATGTTATTTGTCAACAAATCACCGCCATGTTACCCCATCCTTCTATGTGTGTCTGCAACTTTGTTTACAGGAACCACCTGCGAGGGATGGCAACCCAGAACTTCATTAAGACCGGTTTTGAACAGGGCACCTACTCAGTGCTGCTAGTGCCGCGTGCAGAGTGTCGTCTCCCGCGTGTCGCGAGACCACAGATACACGTGTTCCTACCTGACGTAGATCTACTTTAGTTTACCAAACTCCTGTACCTGACCCCTTCTCTGTCTCAAGACTACGGCTGAGACTTTACATCTAGTTACGGTGATTACTTACTCCACGTTGGACTGATAGACACAAAGTATTTCGAGTCCAAGGAACAAATAGATTCTCTGTATTCTAAGGACTGGCAGGACGCTGAGCCGTGCTATCCAGACGCCACAGTTACAACCATCGAGCAAGTTTCGTTTCGGGAAGCACTGAAACTAATGACCGTCGACATTTGGTGCACCATGGATTATTTTTTGGCCAATCGGGACGAGATGGAAAAGGATTTAGGTCGCAAGTTGCCTAATCTGGATTTGGACGATAAGGATTTGTTGAAGCAGTTGGAAGACGAACTATTTCATAAACAATCTGTGAAGATTTTCGGCCGAGAAGAAGGCGATGATGAAAAGTCTGCAGTGACCTTCACAGACTTCCGTCATTTGTTTTTTGATGGGAACGAAAGGTTTGGGACTGCCAGGCATGGGAAACACTACGTGGTTTTCTTTCACGTCACGGGCTGACGTTTTGAAACCCGAGTGATGTGTTACTTGTGAGACCATCCCAATAAATTTGGCATGTTTAACATTTTTAACAAATTAAAGACGACAGTGTGTGACAGCATTTTTTTCCTTGTGACTTAACACCGAAGAAAATTTTTGACGAGAAGGGTCGCTTTTATTTTGTATATTTGTGCAGGGATCTGTGGAATTTGTGGACAATGACTGGGTCTGGGATTTGCCTGGAAATTTCAGAAGCACAAGGTTTTCCGGTTTAAAAATCGATCAGACAAACAAATAATATAAAAATTATATTTCGCTTCCAATGAAAAAATCTGAAAATCAGTAAAAAATATTACTAATTTCTATCTCATTGATCACCATACTAATTTTAGCAATTGTCGTGCACCTCGCCTAGCGTCGTGACAGCGACAGCCGAAATAGGGGTTCAAAATTCAAGAAGAAGGTCGTTCAAGAATAAAAATTTGAGCCGCCAAAAAATGCGGATCCAAACCCATAAGATGGGCATGAATGAACAAGAAACTCTGCGATGATATAAGAGTGAAGAAGACGGTTTACTCTAATAAGAAACCGTTGGAAGCTAGAATGAAAAGTCAAATAAATCCCTGTCACACCAACTATTTGCACACACCCGGGTGTCGTACCCGAAAGGGGACGACAGCTATAATCATCATTATAGTAGCCACAGTAATAGGAAAGAAATAGGAAAAAAAGCCTTATTGGTCCATGAAAAAGCCTCACTATTAGAGTGTGGCTTTACCCCCTTTTTCAAATCTCGAATTCCATTCTCTCTTCGGTTTTTTTATGATTGCCATCATTTTCCTATTATTTGACGTAGAAAGCGCAATCCTCTCACCCCTTCCAACTTCCCCCCTTCACATCTCCTCTCATACGTGATTTACTATATCATTCTTATTCATTTTTACCCTGATCTTAGGCTTTTTTCACTAATGGAACAATGGGGCTTTAGAATAATCCTACTAAAACTATAGTTAAGTGTAACATTTGGGTTCCGTTCAAAAAGCGCCTTAGGCTAGTTTTAGATAAGGATCCAAAACAATAGGAGAAATACTTTTAATCTTTTATTTGGTTTAAAGACCCTTAGCTGCCTTCTTCAAGCAACTTGCATCTACTTTCGACCTAGAAGGAGGCGAACATCGCCATAGGTTGATTAAATTAAAAAAAGGAGAGCCTCTGTTAAAGGCTTCACTGAACAATTTCTAGTTAAGGTGAAATAGCAAGCTTCTAACTTGCGCTCCATCGCATATCGTTGTCGCCTCTTTCCTTGTGGTGTAGTTTTAACAACTTACAATTTCACTGTAATGAAAATATATATTCTTGGAATGTCTCCAAACAAAAGCTTTCTAAGAAGCTTCAATGCTTTGCTTTACATAAGCTATAGAAACAAAAAACATAAAGATCTCCAATAAAAGAAATAAGAAGTACCGCAAACAAATAATATTTATGAGATCAATGAAATCTAGAATCTCTTGCCCAAGGTACTGCAAAAATTTCCCCTCCTAATCCTTTAGGGTCTAATTTCTCTCTCCACCCTGCATCCCATTACTTTCAAACTTGCCCACTAACGCTAAGTCCCACCAACAAGCGAAATTTAGTAGACATAACAACGAAAAATCATATTATTCTAGAGTAAAATCGTATTAAACCCGAGGAAGAAAATATAAATATTCCTCCCATTAACAACTCTAAAATGAACGATAATATAATACCAACTTTAATTTTTAAAAATATAAATTAGTATCAGACAAATGTAAAAGCAATCACCTAAGTAATCTTCCACCAAAAATAGCCCCCACGGATAAAACTCTGATTGGATATATTATAGAAGCATTGTCTCTTATTCTTCCTATTACCATAAGATACCCCCCTCTAAAAATATATTTAATTAAACGCACACTGTACATTATTGTAAGAATAACAGAGCAGTAAGAAAAGATAAAAAACTCCTAAACCTACGTCGAAACTTCTTTCGATAATATAATCTTTTGAGTAAAAAGCAGATAAGAATGGAATTCCACCTAAAGCAAAAGAACAAACCCCCAATCGTATTCTGGTCCAAGGCATAAAATGCCCCATAACATTTAAATCCCGTACATCCTGTCTCCCCCCATACTCATGAATAATTCTATCAGCACAAAGAAATAGACAAGCCCTAAGTAGTGTATGAGTTAATAAATGAAAAAAAAGCCAAGACACAAAACCCAGCCGCTAGTGACAGCATTATTAACCTTAATTGGCTCAAAGTCGACAAAGCAATAACGTTTTTAAGATCCATTTCGTAAAGAGCTCCGATTCTAGATATCATCATGGTAAGTGCTCTGAAGAAAAAAAGGAATTTTATTGCCCCATCAGAAGAAATAACTGGGTAAAAACGAATAAGCAAATAAACTCCAGCAGTTACAAGTGTTGATGAATGAATCAAGCTGATACAGGAGTTGTAGCCGCCATAGCAGCAGGAAGTCAGGCAGAAAAGGGAATTTGTGCCCTTTTACTTATCGCAGTCAAAATCACAAAACACGCAACCGCTATAATCTTTTTTCCGCTACAAAATTTATAAAGAACAAAGCTAAGATCCTCCATAAATAATATTCAGCCTATGGCTACCAAAATAGCTCCATCCCAAATTCGATTTCTTAGACAGGTAATCGTATCAGCTCCATATGATTTAAAAGAGATTTAAAACTAGTATTCCAGTTTTACTTGGAAAATTTGTTGATGCTTGGTGGGAAAACGAGTGACAATAGGGCTTCTTTGATGTTTCTTATAGAGATTTATGGATTGGAAAGAACTTTTCTTTGTAAAACACTCAGGAGGCTTTATAAAGGACCGAATTTGTGATCTGTATCGGATGCGCATGTTGTGGTTTCAGTCTAGGTTACAATATTACATCAATAATATCCGTCACTCCACTATGCTGTTATCTAAAATACAATCGTATTTATTTTAAATGCAATTCTATTTATGCTGTTACCATAATAATAAATTCTCAACCTTGCTCATAATACGTTAACGGAGGATTTGGAGGCATGAAAATAAATTCGCTTCGTGAATATCCTCTACAAAGAAATATAAAGTAAAGACACTCAGATGATTTTTCCCACCCGTATGGAAAAAGATATTGTAAAGTACGACGAATCGGACTTCAAGAGATCCTTTGTTGAGGAAAGTGATTTTGAGATCACATTCCCGTCCTACAGGGAGGAGTACATAAAAAAAAACTTCTCAGACATTGAAAAGACTCTAAAAAGTAAAAAATTTTCAGTAATAGTAGATTACATCACACAAATATTTGTTGTTAGGACAAACAAGAAGACTAGAGACCCGTACATTATAATTAAAGGTAGACAGTTTTTGAAGCTGCTGAGTCGCGGTGTTCCACCCACGTGAAAAAGTTGTATACAAATCTATAGAACTGTATAGAGGAGTTTATAGACTCTATAGAATCTATAAGCCTCTACGTAGTGACTGTATAGAATCCGATCCATAGGACAAATAAATTTTCGTAATATAGGGATGCTGTTTATGTATCAACGTAATATCCTCGGTATTATACAACGTTTGACCAAGTTCCCTCAATTTTTAACCTATACATATCTGCTCTAATTACTGAAGCTATTGTCACGACATTAACTCTGCTCATAGACTACAGGGTGTAATAAAAGTCAGAAATCATAGGGAAATAATATGGGGATCCTTTCCAGACAAGATTGTCTGAAAGGAACAAGCTAATCTGAGCAGATTCAGAAACTCTTTTGTTCTCTTAATCTCGAAGTCTGATCCAAGTGGCCCAGAATGATACTGAGTGACCCATGGCGACCCAAAAGTGGCCAAATTGACCAAATTTGGGTGTAATTTTCAGGTGGGTGATTGTTTTACAAAAATTGAAGCAGACCAAATTTGACCTAGAGTGGTAGAGTGACCCATGGCGACCCATTGCAATCCATTTCGACCCATGGCGACCCGTTTCGACCCATGGCGACCCATTTCGACCCATGGTGACCCATTTCGACATATGGAGGTTCACCCTGAATCTCTCGTTTTCATAGTTGCAGGAGTTGACTAAAATGTATCCTTGAGGGGTGTATAGAGGAATTTATGAACTCTAGAATATACATCTCTACTGACAGAATCCGAATATTCGCTTATAGAAAAAAAAACCCTGCGATATTGGACAACTGTTTATATATCAACGTCATATCCTCTGTAGAGTACAACGTATGTCCGAGTTTCCATAACTTTTAACCCATAAACATTTTATTTTACTGCTTGCTATTATCGCGAAACTTTTTTGTGCATAAGACGGTGTCGCGGTGTGGCGGACTTCCTCCATCACTGCCATCTAGTGTCTCGGCTTGGTGATACATGGGAACCGTGTGGCGTGGAAGTGTACTTAGCGGCGGTGATTTTGATTCAAGTTTTACTGACATGTTACAGTGACTATAAGTGCGACGCTGACGGGTTGAACCTCACACGTCATTTCAGTTCCTAGCCCTAGGCTTTATAGGCCCTACCTTTATCCTACCTGCTACAACCGCAAGCATTGCTTACTCATAGGCCTAAGTCATTGGCCATAAGGACCTAAAAGTTTTTAAGTTTTAAGCTTAAGACTGAAAAGAAGCTATTATTAGGTTATTAGGCCTTTTCCAGAGAATCTTGAGTTCCTGTATCAGCTATGACAGGATTGCCAAGTTTGGAGAGAGCCAGAGTCACTGTTGTCTGACTCCAATTCTACTTTCTCAGGAACAGAAATGGTGAGTGATCCCTAATTGGTTTGGGTATATGCTCTTACACCTAAATGAGAAAGTCCCTGAATGTGACTTCATATTCTGAGAAGATTCCCTTGCATATGCATTTCACAAGCAGATGATGAAAATGACTCGATATATGGTCTCTGCTCCTTCAAAGCTCCTCTTGAATCCTTCTGAGGTTAGCCTAGAAGCTCTCCATGGAAATTAAGCAAGGATTCAGAGAGATATGGCTTTTCAGTATCTAACCAGAAACCTGCAACAACTGTCCTCTTCTTTTAGACAGAGAAATATAGTTTATTCACCCTGAACTGAATTGGCCAAGGCCCAGCATTAGAAGATTTAGAAATAGGAACACCAATACATACCAATTTAGAGAGAGTTGCATCTATCCATTTGTTGATGCACCATAGATGGATTTATGTACCCTGAACTGAACTATTATAAACTCTTCAGAATGAGAGAAAAATGTACAAATTCCTGAAGCTACAATGCTTTCATTAAGTGACCTTCAAGGAGTCAATACTGATTTTCAATATGAGAAATTAGTAGGAACTTATATTACAGCTTCAACCTAACTCAGCTTAAGTAAGATTCCTGGGAAACTTGTTGACATTGGGAGTGGTGTGATGTTATCAAAGAGAAATTTGAACAGTAATGGCAAATGGGTCTGGTGTTAGGTTGCCCCATTGTCTCATAGTGAAAATCTCCATGGAAGACTTGAAGTGAAGCCTTTGACATGCAAGGCTTGTGATGCCCAGTTGGGAAATGAAGCTCATCTGCCTCAGGATCAACCTCATCTTTAATCTATTCTGAGTAAGTCTGAATTTCATTTATATACCTATTATATAACATGTGCACTGTCTGCCATTGAAATTAGTAGGAACCCTAACCCCCTTTCCATTTAACCTTTCCGGACTCTTGAAACTAATCAATTTCATAGTGTGCTACAAGTTCATGTACCAAATTTAAACCGTGTTTCTCAACCTCTTGGTGCTGCAATTTAAAAGGCAGTGTATATATAATTATTTCTGAAGATATCCCAAGTCCTATGCTTTGACTGGTAGGTAGGCTTTAAATTAATAATTTGTCTTGGAAAATTCTATAAGTTCTTATGTTTTATAGGCATTTGGCTCCTTGTAGAGGATAATTCTTTCATTGTCTGAGATTAGCTGCTTAAGCTCAGGGCCATGTGCAGCACCATTAAATCTCCTAGCCTGTTTTCTTCAATCACAGTCTTACATTTATAATTTCATCACAAATCTTCAGCAGGAAAAATTATGACTAAGTGATAATGCATGGAATCCAAGGAGGCCAAGATGTGCTACATGTAATGGGAAGATGTCTAACGGTTTTTGTAACATCATTTCAAAGTTCAGAGCAGTTAATTTGTAATTGTAACTACTTGATGTATGTAATATTTTCATTGATTAGAAGTTGATTTGTACATATTTTCATTTTAACAGGTTTCGCAATGGAGAAGACAAAATACACAAAGAATATATTGATGGCATCTGGCAGACAAACAAGGAACTTGAAAGGAAGTAAAAGCCATCTCTTAATGTAATCATATCATATTCTATAATTATGTTCTCTGTGCTCATTTCTCCTGGAAATACAGGACATTCCTCTTCAAGTGTCTACTGTGCTTTGTTTTGTGCTGGTACATGTTTCAACTTGATTCAGAAGTTGGGAGTACATGTTCGTATTTTACAGATATCAAGTATAATTCTAACAATTTCAAATGGTAATTTTTATATTGAATGACTAATTATAAATGTATGCAATCCACTAGAGTTATGCATTTTAATTGTAAGGAGATCATATGTAATCTTAAGTTTTCCTTAATTGGACGATGTACCCTATCAATATCATTAAGTGAATTTTTATTACCCAGATTGTTGTGCTTCTTGTAGATGGCTTGCATAATCTCAAAGCAAGTAAAATGATTATATCTAGGGAAATCATGGATTAGGTAATCCCACAGGACTTCAGTAGAGTGGAAATAGATCTGTGAAGTATTGCCCTAAGGAAATCCTAAGAGTGTGATCTCTTTCAGCTCCCTATATTGAGATTCTATAGAATCTCTATAGAATTATTCTATGGAAATTTAATAGAAATATGGTAGATTTTCCTACAAAGTCTCTATAGAATCTCTATAGGCACTCTGTATAGAGATTCTACAGAAATTCTATAGAACTTTCTATAGAACTATCTATAGAGATTCTATAGAATTTCTATAGAATCTCTATAGAATTATTCTATAAAATATGGTAGAATTTTCTACAAAGTCTCTATAGAATCTCTATTGGCACTTTGTATAGAAATTCAATAGAACATTTTCTCCTGGGCACTGGAGGACTCTTAAAAAATTCTAGAGGATGACATTTTTTGTGAAATTATAAGAATTGACAATCTCGTAAGGAAAAGAAAAATATTCGAAAAAAAGAGACAGATTAGTAGACAAGGGAGAGAATGTAATAAAGGCGTTGAAGCTATTGGCTAAATGTTATGTGCAAGTACAAGGAGACACAGTGTCGTGTATCAGTCCGTATAAAGGAGTTAAGGAAGTGAAGAATGTTGTTGAAAACACAATTTAAAATGTTCATCCATCATATTTAATGAAGCAGCTATTCGAAGAGCTCTTGCTGGCAAAATTCTGTGACGAAAAGTTTAAAATCCAATTCATTAGACTGAAGAATAGGTTGTTTGAGATGCAATAGAATAGGAACAAAATCCATATTTTCTGCTTACCAGCAGTTTTCTTTCAATCAGATACAATCTATAAAGTCATACCACAACAATTTATGTCTTTGTTTTCTTAAATCAATGAACTGTGCACAACGCCAAAATACATTCAGCATAGCGAGCGCGGTTAGCGGGATTCTGGCTGAGAGAAATAGTGGAGTCAGGTCTATGGTTACAACGGCAACAGTGCTTTCGTTGTATAACGGCGCTTATCAGATGTATGGATTTAAGTGAAATAAATAGTTCTAGCTAGGACCCTTGTATTATGCTTAGCACATTGACGGTATTGCAGCAGTGTAGGGCTACAGAGAATAATTCATTCTACTACATGTTATACTTCATGTATATCTCAAAATACCCTTCGTACTCCTCCTCATTCATCATCTCTTTATCAGCTTCCGTAACCTCACTGAATAGCTTTTTTTTCCTGCAACATACACAGCCTCTTCATTTGTAGTTTCAGCGCTCAATGAGGGAACATCATCCTGTTCCTTCTTACTGAAAGACACATTCCCAAAACTTATGTCCTCCTCTTAAAAAATATTTTCTGTGATGAAGACAGTGTTGAGAGGCACGACGGAATGTCCTGGGTTCGGTGGTGTAATGGTAGCACACCTGACCGGCAATCGGGAGGCCCGGGTTCAATTCCCGGCCGTCCCCTGGCTTTCTTTCGTCCTCTCTCGTCCATCCAACCTCCCTACCTTCAGTTACTCACGTGACATGAGATCATGGCCAGAGCCAACCCTGAGAAGAAAAGAGCCTCAACCTGGTCAGTAAGTGGCTGGAGTAGGATGTTGAAGCGGTCCTCATTGATGAACTGTTCATGGTCGTGGACGAAGACCTTGGACAGAGTGTCCACGACAACGGTGAGGAGCCGATCCGTCAGGCCTCCGGGGTCGCTCACGTCTTCGAAGTAGAGGCTCTCGGCGTTCTTGGTCTTGGCGAGAACACCAGCAGCATGTTTTAAAAATGTACCGGCAAACAGCACAAAGAGGCTCTTGAGGCAATCTGCCATGCGATCTGTCAACCTGTCAATAGAAGGTATTTTCAATTCTGATTCTTGCCATATAGGTACACAATCAAATTCCACCAAATGCCGATTTCTACGTCAACCTCTTTATAATAACCTGCAGGGATCTTAAATATTTCAAATTGATTTTCCAATTTCTTTTTTTGGATACAATTCTCCTTTCAATCCTTACAATATTCATCACATGCAAAACATGGCAGCAACAGAAACTGATCCTTCTATTTTGAGAAAATAACTAAACAAAATATAAATAAACAAAAACTAAGTAAAATAGGAATTCTCATTTAGAAATGATAATAGGCAATTATTTCAGGTTTCAGTACTTTACATCCATAACCAATTATTACTAATCAGATCAAGAATTCCATCAAAATATATATTGCATATGCAATTTGCCCTACCTTGCACCACTGTAGCCCCATGACACAAAAAGAAGAGCTTTATGCATCTGGGAGATTCTGAAGACAGCCAGCCTAATTGAGGATACTACACTCAGAGTGAATAAAAATTCTTTTTCAGCTGCTATGCATGAAATTTCCATGCTCTGAAACTGCTACATGGGAAAAAAGGATGTATAGAATTTTGCTTGAATATAGCAATTTTCTTCCAGGGTTATCTTCTGGCATTATAGAGAGTTGACATTTGTATTATCTGCAGTATTTATATTAGGAACAAATTTATTTGAAAGGGAACACTAAGACCAGTTGCCATGTGGACACTTTCCATTTTACCTCTTAGGGGAAGGAATACTTTCTGAAATAGAGACCTGTAGAAGGTGAGAATTCGTAACGGGGGAGCATCGGGTCGTGTGGCCCAGTCATAGAGGCGGAAGAAGAGCGGTCGGAATGTCTGCTCTGACAGCTTCAAGAGGAGGGCAAGGAATGCCTCAATTGCACTGCCCTCCACCTCCTCGCACGATGGCTCCGCTCCAGTCTCGCTCCGGTAGTTCAGCACCTTCAATGGAACAGACTCCTTGCAAATCCCACACATGCAAAACAATTGTTGGCAACATTGCATCCGTCATTCAGACCATTCTTGGGTGCATTGCCTTTCTCAGCAAATCATCAATTGGCCTTTGGATATCAAGGTGACCATAGTGTATCTAATTGTGGGAAGAAGAGTGAATGAGCTTATTCCATGTCAAATGTCTACAGACCAGTGAACCTTTTCCTCAACTGTCATGGATTTACTTGAAAGCATTTAAAATCTTAGGCATTGTAAAGGATTGAACACTTCCTAAATTTCAACCTCCTGAGTGAAACCATTCTTGATATATCATTTGTGCAAAATTTTCCAAATGCATGGCAACATATGAACCACAAAATTAACAACTACTTCAAATTTATTCTACTGTTTTTGATGACTTGTTACATTAGCTTTTAAGGTGATATGCAGCTGCCACGTAATAATACTTAATACATTTAAAGTATTTCTAAATCTTAATTGCCAATGCATGATGTTGAAGAAATATCAGACAGGTCTGATTGATTTTGAAGTTCTATAGAACTTTGACAAGCAATTTGGGTTGAAAAGTATTTTTAATCCCTATTCTAAGAATAGATGATAGTTCAGATGGGACTCATAATAACTGCATACTTCAGAGCATATTTAGATCAACATAGTCCACCAGGTATGATCTCAATACAAGCCCCCCCCCCTCATTCTTTGCATCAGAGCTGCAAATGCATGGAATATAAAATGAAAAGCACTTTTTAGATCTCTTTACTCTTCACACTCCACTAAAGGTTCCATAATAATTGAAGGTAAATTTTTTAATTAAATAGAACACAAAATAACCGTCATGTGAGTTTATGCAAACAGAATCACAGGAATGGTTTTAATGGAGAAAATATGAGAAGCTTTTATATTAAGGTACAATACAAGAGATCTTTTTTCATTCAGGCAAATGAGAGATGGTGGAGTAAAAATAACCTGGTTTCTCAAGATTTTTCACTGAAAGATTTAACATGGAAAATTGTTTATAGGGTATATGACTTCAGAATGACATTCTAGCTGACAACTGCTATGCTATAAGCATTACAGCATTGATGCTTCATCCACATAAATTACAATCAAGTTATTCATATCCATTGGTTATTCAGCAATCTCTAAATTGGCACCTTGATGAAGAACCGAGTGAGTTCCTGAAGGTTATCGGCGATGCGAATCTTGTCGAGGGAGTTGAGATGCACAGAGAGCATTCCAAGGAGAACGGCCATGGGCTTTGACCCTCCCCTCTCCTTCAGGCGATCATAGCAACCCTCGATCGCAGGGATCAACTTCCCGGTCATGGTCGGTCCACAAAGGGAGTCACTGCACACATGAAAATGAAACATGTCAGAAAACATTGCTGTTGGGTAGGCAACTGCTGAAGAAGCAAAAATCAAGGCCAAAATAAGCTCTCAACAATGAATCTCACAAGACCACTACTTCAACTGGCTTCTCAACTATGGAAAGTATTGCTCACCTACTGTAATGAGTCACAAATGCATGGGAGCAATGCAACATATTTCAATGTTTTCTCCTTGAATAATAAATTTTCAATATGAAATACAACTAATATTAAGTCCTGAGGTTTAGCTTCTGAACTGTCATGAAATATAGGACAGAAAAAAAATCAAGACGCAAGCATGATAGTTTCATTCAGTTTGCTGCCTTGTGCCTGCCACATGGATTTTTTGCATAAATACAAATTAAGAAAGCATACATAATGACAATCAGCTATGGTATCTTCTTGATAATTCTAATGTGATCAATGATTAGAGCAGACTAGACAAGTTCATATCCTAAGACAACCATGGCAGAAATAGTTACATGGTAGAAATAGAAACAAGAATATGAGAACAAGCATCATACAATTTCTCCAGCCCCTAAATTTACCAAGATTCACCTTCAATATCATTATCACACAGGACAAATCATCAATCAAGCTCACCAGATGCCCTTGAGTCGGCCAGAGAGGGAGGGGGGATTGTCCGAGGAGGTCCGGTGCCCCTTGTCTTCTTTCTTATCCTCCCCCTGTGCATGGCCCATGAGGATGCAGACATGGAAAAGGATGTCAGGGAGGTGTGGGCTCAGGAATGCAGGGATGTGGATGCATGCCCTCTGCACCACTGCCAGTGCACTCATTAGCACCAAGTCTGTCTTCTGGATCCTGTGTGCAAACACAGGGAGGAAAACATCAGGCACTCAAAGACACTCTGCTAGAGCTGCATTCAAATAGTGATATTTCAATATGGTCAAGTAAGACAATGAATACTTTCTGCCAGTCAATGCATCAATACCAGAGTCAAAATACTCTAGGTACTATTATGCCACATGAAGGAGCCCTACTCATGACTTACCTCAGCTTTAAAATTTACACATATACCAAGCACTACATTCATGGAACCCAGATTGGTACAAGCAAGTTTACACTCTCTCATGTGAAGACTTCAATGATTTTTGTTGCCAGAAAATAAAATAATAACAATGAATGTAACCCTGGAAAAACTTTTCCAATTTTCACCATCAGGGCAATAACTTTTCTCCCCCCCCCCCCCCATCCCTGAAGCAAGAAATGCAGCTCCTGCATAGAGACACTGATACAAAGACACAGGGCATTATCTGATAGCTTACAATAGCTGATACAATCTTGCATGGAGGGTGAGTGCTACTTCACCTACCTTTCACTCATAATGCAAGCTGATTTTCCCTTGTCCAACTGCAAAACAAACTCACTAATGCCAAGTTGGTGAGAGAATTTTAGAGGCCTGAATTACCGTAATTCATTGATTAGTAGTGGGCAACAGAAATGGTCAAGGACATTTCACAAACATCGATAAGAGGACATGCCCCCAGGTTACAGTATTCAGAATCCCTAAGTAGAAAAATTTAATATCAATTCCAATAGGGTTAATTCCAATAAGGCTAAATCCATAAGAAATGGGAACTTGGAACATGTGCCTCAATTTGAGAGGAGTAGTACATCATATCAATACATGCCACTGCACTTTAACTTCAAGAGAGTCAGCAATTTTTTAAATGTCCATCAAATTTGACATTCACTGAGGATGGAATAATACCTCTCATTACTGATAATCAGAAGTATATTGGTCTGAAGACCTGTGGACTCACGCGGGGCGGTGGGTGAATGAGTCGAGAATGCCAAGGAGCGCCGGGATGAGAGTGTTGATGTGAGGGATGAAGAGGAGGTGGGCGCTGCGGATGATCTCCGCCACACAGAGCAGGGCTGAGCCGAGTACTGCCGGGTGGATGCTCTCTCCTCCTTCAATCATCTTATTCAACACAGGTACGAACTACAACGAAAACAGCAAATTCTCAATTGGCAGGGAAGGAAGGGAAAACAACACACCAAAGGCAATAGTTTTCCCATGTTCCCATTTTTGAATTCAGCAAGGACTTAAAACCCATAATATCTTAGGGTCAGCAATAGTAAAAGCTCACTTAAAATTACTTTTGTATAAGCCAATATTTAAATTAATTTTGCTACCCAGCTACAAGGGAGTACAGCTAACAGAATACAAGGGAAACATACAGAATAAGCAGAGGTTACAAAATAACCCAAAGAGGTTTCCAAGTAAATTATCACATTCTTTTTTTTTTCTTTTCTTTTTTTTTTATTATCACATTCTATAGGAGGTCAATACTGTACTTGCAAAAAGTTTTAGCTGTTTTTGAAATGCAAATGTCCAACAAAATGGTTCCCTGATGCATCCACAATCTCTCAATACCCCATAAAAGGGTATCTGTGTGTGTCTGGCCAGCACATCAATAGGAATGCTGAGAGACATGAACCGAAGGATGTAGCATACAGCAAATATTGGTAGGTGGATGTGGATGTGCACATGTAAGGTGCATAGAGAGGGCTCAAACTCAGTTGCATTCATCACGGAAGGACTACTGGCTCCTTTCTTGGGATTTGTGCACAACATATGACCTCTGAATATTCTAGGAATGGGTTACAAATGTGTGCAAGGATCTGCACAACTAGAGCAGATCCCAAAGCAGGCACAGGATATATATATTTTGCAAAAATGTCGAAACTGTAAAGTGGTGGCAGAGCTTCTTATAGTGGTGACTTATATATAGGTAAGGTAATATTAAAGAACTTTGCACCTGTTTACCATACCCACATGACAGCAAACATAGGCAGAATGCACTCCACAAGAGGATTTGAGGGATACAGAGAGAGACACAAGAGGTTGTCTCATCATATTGGTTTTTGTTAGGAAGGATAGATCAAATGGAATTTCTGCACTGATTCCTATCAAAGCCAATTCGATGCCAAACAATTCTTATGAAGTACATGAGGCAAGCTTAAACACTTGCACTAAGGGAAAGATAGACAAAAACCTCTTGCTGCCATATAACACAGAGTAGAAGAAAATCGACCAAGAACCTTTCCAAGAAAAGGACATGCACAAACAAAAAAACAAACCTGATGAAACTCCAAGTCTTGCGATCCAGCAAGTCGACACAGCAGCCTCAGAGCATAAAGTGCCAGCTGTGGGATGATTGAGACATCCTCCTCCTCGCCCTCCTTCCTCTTCCTTGTCCCTTTCTTTCGTGGCTCCACAAGGGGTCTCAATGCCAATAGAAGAGGTCCCACATCCCCAGGAGACTCAAGAAACTCCGGTCGGGCCAGATGGATGCTGAGGACCTCCAGGATCTTCTGCCGGATGAATGGCTGCTGGTGCGATAGAAGGGGGAGTACCACTGGCAGAAACTCATCCTTAGGCAGCAGGTTCGTCACCTAGAGTGAGAGTGAGTGAAGTGAGAACAAAAGTATCCAGCCCCCTTTTGAGACTTTCATTAAATTAAGTCATGAATGAAGAAGAAGCAAGAAAATAACTGGTTTGAATACAGGTCAAAGAACCTATTGTTTCCATATGTTTTGCTCTTGGAAGGAAAGGCAGCCGATCATGGGATTCCTTATGAAACACTGAGTATTTAGTCCTTCTTGAGGAAACAGGAGGCATGCTTCAATTTATTTTCATGCTCAGTAATTGAAACATTTTTGAGTTTCATGTGTTGCCCAACATGAGCCACTTTGTTTCCATAGCCAAAAAATAAGACAAAGTCCCCCAAACATTCAAATCTATCTGACCCTGAAACTGATGAAAATCAGATATAATTTTTAGACTTGGATTTACATACCAGTAACTATTCAACTCCCCAACATTTTTTCCCTCAAGTGCAATTCAGATAATGCTCTGTTCTGATAATTCTTTAAGAATGGCATTCCAATGAGAGCAAAACAAGGTGGAAAACGAACATACCTTGTCGAGGAGTTCACAACTCTTTTGAACGATGGCTTTCCAGAATCGAGACGAGGCAGGATCAGATGAGCCACTGGCCAGTCCTTGCCCTGCAGCATCGATCCACTTCAGCAAGGCCTCCAGAAAGTTCCGAAAGGTCCTCGACATCTCCTCGTTGTACTTCTCAACCTGCCGAGGTGATCGGACTCTTAAACCCTACCCAAAGCACAGTCTCAGATCAAGACTGGTTATTTGCATGTCTGACCACACCATAAGATTGTGCTGCTGAGTTTAAGCTGTCAACTATTGGAGTTTTGTAGCCTATCAGTCACCTGCTTTATCCCCCAGTAGGGTAATATGGCTGGGAACAAAGTTGGGAAGCACCCACCCAACCTTACATTAAAGATTTTTTCAAGGGACAATTATGATGCAATGGTGGTATCCCCTTTGAGTTTTCAAAAGAAGTTTTAGTTTTATGCAGCTCTGGCAGAAAAGACTCAAGTTTCACAACAATTCATCAAATGAATTCCAAGTTCACTCTTCACAGCAAGAGTATCACTTTTTCTCAATGTTAGTTCATGTACTTCTGATCTGAAGTGAAAATGCATGAGCCAAGACCTGGGTGATGGGTCCTTCAGTGGCAAAGAGTGCAGACAGAAGTTTGAGGGAAGCAAACTGGAAATGGCGGAACTGTTTCGGCGTGAATTGGTCCAAGTTGATGATAGTATCTTGCTTCAAAGTTTTGCTGAATGAGTCTTGGCGCACCCGCTTCCTGGCAGGAGATCTCATCGGGGTCGATGGCAAGAATGCTGATTTCTCTGTAAGGAATTAATACATGTTATATGCATCATGAAGTCCAACTTTGAAAAGGAGATATTTAATTTGCATAATAAAACAGAAGTACTGCATATTTATCTAGTTTACAGTTGCTTCTCCACACTTTCAGGTTGAATCTCCAACCTCCTTTATTAATGTGAGATCATAGTTGAAATAATTTTTCAAGTCCCATTAGCACATAATAGGAATGAATGCACATCAAAGGTGATGAACAGCAAGAAATTCATCTGTGAGATGTTGTAGAACTTTTAAAGAAAGAACCCCCATCCCATCTTACCCCAACCAGCAGGCAAACACCAACATTTCACCAAAGACTTGCCCACATTCATAAATGAAGAAACTCACCTGGCTCCATAGGATGACTCAGGAGGAAATGGAGGCACTGTGCAACAGCATCCAACTGGCACTGTGGTGCCTGGGAGGTCACGACCTTGAGGGCCAACTCAAACGTCCAGGGGAGCTGCAACGAATCACTTCTTCCCACATCAGGACCCTCAACCACTCGAACCTCGCTTAGAGATGAGGACTCTGTAATGGAAAAAAACATAGCCTTTCTCAAGTGGGATCACATTTAACAGATTCACTTGCAGCCACTTTTGATCATTCCTTATGTTCAAGTGCATCTAAATGGGTCAAAGGTTTCCCCTTAAGAACAACATTTTTGTCTACAAGATTATGATACTATTTATACTGATGATGCATCACATGAATTGCTTCCATCCAAGTGATTTACATTATCTGCATATTAAACATCAATCATAGCAGCTTTGTGGAATAACCTCACACCCATGACATTTTTTCAAAAGCTATGTTTTTCTTTGTCTCCAATTCTTTATTTGCAGACTTCTGGAAATTTTATGACTTGAACAAACTTTCACCTACATCCTAAACCATGATTTTAGTAATTTAATTATTGATATTTTACATATTTAATTAAGAATACTAGTAGAGACCCACAGTCAACATATGTCAAGGGAGGATAAAGCCATCAAACTTCTGAAAACAGCATTACGTATTCCATCATAATTCCTAATTATAATTTCAATCAATTTTGTGCATAAATAAAAAAATAATTTCCAGTCCAAGAAAATAAGAAATACCTATAGGTGCCTATAGTATAGGACTCGTGTCTATTTGCGTTACTTCATGAACACCCGGTATAATATTCATCATGCACTACTGAGAGTTATAGACAAACCAGGGCTGAATCCCACTCACCCTTGAGGACGTGAGCCTCAATGAAGATGAGTAGAAGCAGCCACACAGAGTGTTCTGGATTCAGAGTCTCAATGAGCTTGGTGAAGATGGAAATGCGACGATGGACAGGGATGTCTGCAACTGCCCCAACGAACACACGCAGGATGCCAGCTGCAGCCACTTGGCTTTTCTCTGACTGGGGGAGAGTGGCATGCCATAAGGGTCTAAATTGAGCTGTATTGGCCGAGTATGTGCAACCTGCAAAAACTTTCTGAATGCAACTATAAACACAGTTTCAAATTGACTGTTCCCACATATTATGAAAGGAAATTTGGCAAAAATCCATGTATTACATAATCCACACCATTGGATAATCTGCTACATCCCCTGAGTTAGTTAGTTACACATCAGGTCTGTCAACATCATCAGGGTCACTGTCAAATCCATGTGAAATGACACCTTCCATGCAGCAAGAAAATATCTGTTATGAAGTGTCCAATGATCAATGGATCAGGTGATTGGTGATAAGGAAGACTGAGTTGAGTTGATGCAAAAAAATGGATGAAGATTTCCTTACTAATCATACACTGCCTTAGTTCGTAATTGTGACAGGGGGAATGATTTGGAATTGTCCTGTCACTGTCACCCTCTTAGAAAAGCTGCCATGACATTGAAGAAGGATAAAACTATTTTTACAATTCAGCTTAAGCATACAATAAAAATGAACAGTTGAACAGTTCAGTTCATTTTAAAATTTTACAAGTAAAAGGAGAAACTATATTTTAACTTTTGTCAAGACCAAGTAACCAGACACGAAAAAAGAATCCTCAAAAAGAATCCCCAAAAAGAATGCTCTGAAGTTACATTTTCACCTGCATGCTCCCTTATAAGCCAAGTTGTCTCCAGCAATCAAAATAGGCAATAAAGCAGGATGGCAAGCATTTTAATTTCAAAAAATGAATTTTTCATGTCCATGAACATATGACCACCTCCAGAATTCTCTAAAATTGTCAACTCCAGCAAGATGACAATCATTAATACCAAAAAACAGTCCATTGGCAAGTTTACCTGGAGGGCAGCTGGGATGATGCTCTCAATGGCCCTGTTTATGACCTGGAAGGAATAGGCATCATCAAAGTGAAGCACTGTGCTCCCCATGAATGTGAAGATCCCCATCATGTTCTCCAGCACTTTCTTCTGTTCCCCAAAAACAGCACATTTCACATCAACCATTTCAATCCAACACATGCTCCAATTACTTTTGATTCAATGCAGCAGACAGCCTCATAGATTCAGTGGGATCTAAACAGTGGGGAAAGATTTCTGGCTGATGTGCAGCAAACTGATTGAATCCATCCATCTTCATCATTGAGAATTAATTTAAAGAGAATTAATTTAAAGAGAATTAATTTAACTAAACTCATGTTACTCTCATAAAAGCTTACTGTTAGAACGAATGTGTTCTATTTATATCAATTTGGTGCATGTAGCTCATCATTTATCCCTGTCTCGGTTAAGAAAAACCTTTTTTCCCCTCCTACCCCAACCCCAGCTCTCAGCCACAAAAAAAAATTTTTTCTTAACTGAGACAGGGATAACCCAGTTCCATTTTTCATACATGGAGATAAAGGTCTTTCACAGAGGCCAGAAAGATGTCATATTTTCAAGTAATAGAATTCTGTACATCTCAAGGTTGTTCTTCCATTTCATTTTGACAAGGTTAGCTCATTCTGGGCCCATGAGAAACTGGCCAACCTCAGCTGATTAACTTGTGAAAGATTGAACATAAATTTAACTTGAAGTCACATAGGCACATGTCACAGTGCATACCGGGAAGAGCTCTGCAGCAGTGGAGAGGAGCAGGAAGGCCTGATGAAAAACCTGTGGGTTGTGCGCATTACGGACCACCTGCACGACGAGCTCCACGTGGAAGGATTCCGGACTGAGATCCGTCTTGTCCTTGTTACCCATCAAGGCATTCACAGCAGCATGGATGCAGGAAAGGAGCAGATCCTGGATGTACTCCACACTGTTCACCTCCTCATCCTGGTCTCCTGGGTGCAGCCATTCCAGGGACCTGGGAAGAGGACAGCCCATACAACTCAAGGGAATCATCCTGACAGGTACACAAACAAATCCAACAAAGAGTAAGGAATAAAATGTAAACTAAAATAGAGAATCCAACATCAAATCATAATCATTACCTCAATCCTGAATTTAAAAATTAAGTAGAATTATTCCTTTGAAAATCAAAATTATTGGATTTACCATGTTCTGCTAAGAAATAGAGGCATATTTGGCATCTTTTCAGCCAGTTGATATGCTTGAGATATGCTTATGCATATAAGATATGCTTACTTTTGGAGGACACCAAAAAGCGGAGAGAGGAGTTTGTGGAAGTCCTGGATCTTCTTATTTGATCGGAGAACCTCAAGGAAGAGGGTCAGCTTCTGCCTCCAATTCAGATTGGTTGATGGTGATGCTTCTGTCTCTGGTATTGCCTTTAATTCCATGGTCCTATTTAATAATTAAAAAAAAGCCACAGCCATGAATAACATGAAATAACCCTTTGGGCGTGTGGCTCGAATATGTTAGTCATGTTTCAATGCAAAAAGCATCCTGACATTTGCTGTCATGCTTTAATATGACAAGAACAACCACCTGCACACTGGACTATATATATGTATGAATTTCTGACACATCTTCATTTTTTTACATGTACCACTGCAAATCAGTGGTGAATTACTTTTCATGACATACAGAAATTGGCAAAATGTTGATGCCACAATAATCAATATCCATTAGAGTCTGAAATATCAGTAGTGGGGCAGAGGGTCACAGACCGGCTAAGTCGGGACTGGATCCTCCTGGCCCGTTTCTGGGGTGCATCCACAAGGATATCCAGCTGTGACAACCGCCTCAGTTCTTGCGTCACCAAGGATGCACAGAGGGGGAGCTTGTTGAGGACCTTCTTCACCTCCAGGACCACTTCAGGCAATCCAGGCTGGACGGTCACATCGATCAGAGTGGACACCACCCTGAGCTGAATCTCTTCCCCACTTAGAGCTCCAAAAAATTCATCATCCAGCTTTGAACAAACAGATTTCAAATACAGAATGAATATTGTCCAAATTCATGATGTCCAAGATTCCACTGTTCTAATAAATACCGGAAAACTAATGCAATAATCATTTTTTCTGGCAGGAGACAATTCAACTTGAGAACTGCACCAAAATATACACAAGGTAGATCCTGTATGTCACTTATACTGACAATATATCACTGAATTCCTGTTGAGTTAAGATGACTTCATGGCAACATCACAGAGATCTTTCTCCAGGCATCACAATAACTGCTACCTCAATCACAGGACATTTAGATAAATATATAAGTCATGCAATATCTGTTGAGCTGTTCCATGCTGTTACGCCATTGAGCTTAGTGACATATTGGGTTTGTGGGAAAGCTCTGCCGTTTTTGCTTATGTACAATTGTCCTTATCTCCCATATATGAGAACAGCTTGTGATGAATCATAGATTGTTTTGTTTTCATCTTTGTGGATTAGAGTATAAAAGGATGTCATCACTAGCCATATTCATGCTTAGGAGATGAGTCCATATGTACATGAACAAAAATAACAGACCTTTCCCACAAACCCAATAGCATGAATAGCATGTTTACCCTATAGCTTTCTGAGATACTGATTCATATAGTGTTATCTCCATCAAATCACTTGGTACACACAGGCTTTGCTCTTCATGAGTCAAAGGACACTGTTCAGGATGGAAAAACCAAATATGATTAGTTCATGAGAAAGTATCTACTTTGAATAAATCCAATCTAAAGCAAAATTCCAAACTTAGACAACTAGCAACTAGCCATCCAAGTGCAATTCGTCAGCTTTCTCATATATCTAATCTAGTTCATAAGTCATGAAAACAGCAAGATTTCAATTTTCTATCCTGGCTGACTTGTTTCTGCAACCAGAAATAAATTATGTTCACTATAGCATTTGATGGAAAAGCCATCTCATTCATAGAATATCTCAAGAAACTGTAAGCTTCAAATATCGTTTCACTGAGCTCATCAACTCATGAGAACATTGCAAGGCTTAAAATAAAGTGGGGGTGCATATTAATCAAAACCCACCACACTCACCTGAGAGACAAGGTAGCGAGCAAGTGACTCGGTTCCAGCTTGGGTCCCAGTCAAGTAAGTAACAGAATCTCTGAGCAAGCAGTGAAATTCCTCAAGTAAATCACCATCCAGGAAAGAGGCAACAGGTGGGGCACAGAACCGGGAGGTGATCAGCTTCACCAACTGGGACTCCTGCACCCCCAGGACCCATTTCTCTGGCTCTTCTGGACTGGGTCTCTTTGACAGGACCTGCCTCAGCAGGGGGAGGAGTCTCTCCAGTATTGGCTGGTGGAAAGTGTGAAAACTTGCAGTGAAATTATTTCCATCAATAAGTTGAATTCAAAAATATTAAATATATATATTTATATATTCTTAAGTTTCTCCTTGAAAACATTCTATATGGACATTTCACCCTGGATACTACCTGCAGCAAATAAACATCTGCTAAATATACCCTGCTACATCAGGGGGCCTACAAACTAGAAAAGTGTATTTTATGATACAGAAGCTTTTAGCAATTTTTTCCAAGTAACAAAGGATCACAGCTTCAGAAAGGGTAAGCAAGCCATCCATTTTCCTTGGACCAATTCTTTTTGTTCTTCAACTGACATTAACATTTTGGCCTATAAATTATTCATAGTCAAAGATGATGTTTTATTTCTCCTTAGAAATTTGAATCCAACCCATCATTGATCAAATGACCTATGATAGTTAGCCTCTCTGCTTGCACTCTGCACAATATACCTTGGAATGAACAGAAGAAAGGAGATGGAGAAGCCCGATCCGGATCTGCATGAGGAGTGGAGCCCTTTCGTCAGTGACTATGCTGAGGAGGGCATCCAGTGCCTCTTTAGGATCCTTCTTCCTGGTCCTCTTGGATGGAGACCCCTCCACATTGGCAAAGGATGCCTGCAATGCCACCACCTCTGCTGCATGACTAGGTGAGGCAGAAAATAAAAAAAATAGCAAGTGCAGGAGAATCTCTGACTGTAGCCATGGAGACCCATGTCCTCTGTCACATGCCAACAAGGCCAGTGTTGAAATTCAACAATGGAGCTGATATTGAATTCATTTTATCCACTTCTATGAGCCTAGATAATTCCAATTTGGCTTTGAATTTGCTAGCAACTATTTCTAATTAACCTCTCCAAGTCAACCAAGGTTATAGGTTACTTGCATCGCTGAAAGCGGCGGGATTCCATCTGGATGGGATAGAACACGAGCACTAACTCTTCGATCGGAAAGACGCCGCCTTGGTGGAGTGAAGCGAAACTTTATGGACGATACCCACAGGGTGGCAATCGATACAGGATAAGATTGTTGCTCGATAAAAGTCCGTATCATAGGCATGAGCACCCCCATTGGTAGGGGGGGAGGGGGTGGGGATGCACGAGACGTACAACGTCTGAGCGGCTGCTACATAGAGCGTTAATAGGGCCGCTGACTAATTCGTTAATACCCGAAAATACAACACACTTGGCTTTGGCTGAACTGGATTTCGTGGATGTCTTCCACCGGATGGGGTCTCTGTCTCACTCTCGAACGAGCAGTATATTTCGAGCCTTCACAACTGTCGGATCCGTCCTCGAGAACGAGAGAGAATGGCTGCCACGTATTGTTCAAAGAGCCGCTAATCAACCTCGTAGATTCCCAACAATGTTACATGCTTAGCCATGGCCAGAGATATCAAACTTGATTAAGCTGGGGGATGGACAGAACCCTTCAAGAATGGTTAGGTTTACATTAGCACATCTTATACTAAAGTTTCAATGGCTAACAAGTTGAAAAAGTCTACGCTTCTGCAAAGCCAACTGTTGAAGAAGAGAACTTTGCGGTGCGCACGAGATCAATTAGCTGGCCGGCAGTTCGACACCTCTGGCCTAGACCGACCCGAAGTTCGTGGAAGTCTTTCAGAGGTCATTCTCGAGAATTGGAGAGAGGGACTGCTGATTATATTGTTGAGAACGCCGCTGAGTTTTAGGGCTGCTGACTGAGCTCGGGAATTACCGAGAAACAGTTTATGGAAGACTCCCCGCCGGTTGGAGTGTCCAACTCATGCTCTCATGCTCGCATGTTCTCTCCGGCCTTTGCAACTGTCGGATCCATTCTTGAGATGGGAGAGTCACTGTACGCCTTGCGCAACCCCCCCACCAATAAGGGATGTTCACGCCTCGATACAAACTTTCACCCGGGAAAACCCACATATAACGCTTGGAGTCCCATGTTCCTCTGCGCGAGGGAGAGTAACTCTCGAGTGTGAAATCGGTGGGATAGAATAGAAAGATTTATCTTCAGATTGCAAAGATGCCGCCGGTCGTGTCGTAACCTTCCAGTTTCCCGTATATTTCATTCTTAGGCTTGCATGAAAAGTGATGGAGATGGACTTCACGGACTAAGTGAACAGGGTTGTGATTGATAGGAAAAAGTGCCAACCATTAAAGGGGTTGCAATTCCGATAATTGCGTGGGCGAAGATCTCACACCGGCAAGAAAATCTTCATTCCTTCAGTGGGATGAAAGGGGACTCCCAAGAGTTATACGTGGGGACGTGTAAAGATTGGGAAAGAGGGTCTGCTGCCTGTAGTGATGAGAGGGCCACTGAGTTTTAGGGCCGTGAATGAACCCGGGAGCTTTTGCCTAAGAGTTCGTGGAAGTTTTCCACGGGTTGGCTAGTATAGGAATAATATGCTCAAACAAGAGGAATAATATAAGCGTGAATCAGGAATTATTTGATTCAAAACGAAGGGTAATATATAGCCCATCCAGTCCCAGAAATGACCGCTTCTAATTCACAAAGACCAGAAAAGTCTCATTTCACACATTTCAAGTCACACTGGGGCCATTTTCCTCTTCCATCCGCTTCTCAAAAAACCAGTTTGAGACAAGGGGAAGGAAGGGGTTTGACAGTTTTTAACAGATCATAAGAAATGGCTCTCCATTAGGGGCTCATACTGCTTGGTCCTTCCTGGGCGTGGATGAACTATATAAGGAGTGATAGGCAATGTATGAATGCATGTTTTACAGGTGACACAAGGGCATCTGGAAATCTGTGGAGTGAGGGGCCTAGAATTGAACTCACCTGGGGTCCCCCTCAATCTCAGATCCTTTGGCAAGCAGTGCTCCAATGAGAGATTTGAGTGGATCATTCTCACTAAGGCGTTTACTCAACAACTGAAGACACGCCAATGCCGCTTCTCGGATGGCAGCCTGAGACGTGAGGGAAGCGAGGAGGGATGCCAGGAGTGCAGACGAGGACACCCCGGCATCCAGCTGGGATAAGATGCGCAGGGCTATCACCTTGAGGGACTTGGGGATATGAAAGTGGAATCCCGAGTTGGGGCACAGTTCATCTGCTGCCCAGCATAGACTCAACACCTGCAGCTGCTGGGGACCTCCACCTCCAACCTGGGGGCAAAAGGTTCCAGGAAAATTTTGAGGATAATATTACATTCCTCACTTTTGCAGGTTCTTTTGGGGGAGGAGTCCCTTGTTCAAAACTTCCATTATCATGCTTTCACCTTCCTGGCATTGTCATTCACTTTTAACATGACCTCCTGTCCATCTAGGTCCATTCAATCCCTAGGCTTTCCCTCTGTAGTAACTAGACTTTTCTTTCTGAGTCACTTTTTTGACTTAAAGGTTATCAGTTTTGATAGGATTGTTGTACAAAACCTGTGGGAATGATGGAAGGTAATGCCAAATGCCACCTTCAGCTGTGTTCCAAATGTAATTGAGGTATGACAGACATGGCTTTGCCATCTCCCTCAGGGGAACAAGAAAAAAAGGCATGATAATGACTAGGAATAATACTGAAACTGGCTTCCAATGTGAATTCCTTTCATTGCTAAACATGATTCTTCCTTATAAAGCCTATATATTTTCAATCTGAAATGCTAAAATGAGTCAATTTCTTTTACTAAGTATTAATCATTTCAGTATCCAAACTTCTTAAGTGATAGTAAGTCCAACATTAATATGAGCTTGATGTTGTATGATGGAACATGGATCCATTAAGTCTTTAAGTTCCTGGCAGCTGCTTTCATAATGATATTTAGATATATTCTTTAGAATACCAGCAGTGAAAGTAAGTCAGACAGTCACAAAAAATATGTAAGTTGGACAACTGATCTCACCTTCAGGACAGTGGAGACTGCATCCCTCCACAGCTGGGACTCAGGTTTGGCTGCCTGAAGTGAAACCACTCGGTGCAGGAGCTGGAGGTAGATCGACAACCATTTAGTCTCAGGTGTGCACGATTCGGTGACTACACCTTCCAGGTCGGGCTGCTCAGGTCTCCGTGCATCCAATGCGTGAGCAATGGAGGATAATGCAATGTGGAGCAGCATCTCAGAGATGGAGCCACGCTGGGAGTGCTTGATCGTCCACATAAGGGTTCTTCCTGACACTTCCCAGGCTTTGCTCCATGCACTCATTTCATTCCCTTGAGAGGGAATTACCTGCAGAATGGAAGGAATGAGGGATTGCTGTGCTGAGGGCAGCAGGAGAGCTTGGTACCTGTCACTTTTTAATTTATTCCTCCTTCTTGTCCTCTATTTCTCTTTTTTCAAGGTCACTGATAACCCTGATTTGGGCAAAGTAGATGAATTAAGAGGTGCTGTCTCAACTATCAATATAAAGTATCAATTTCCAGGTGACAATGATGAAATGACAGTAGTATATACTGTCTGCCATTTTTTCCCAATAAGTATCTTATCTGCATATTTTGACATACAAGAATAGAGGATAACCATTAAATGGTCCTCTAGCTAAATGCTATCACTTTAATATAAGCAGTATTTAAATTTCTCCAATGTGACACAATTTAACATCTCAATTTCTATTTTCAAATTGTTCCATGAATTATGAAAGACATTAGTGAGGCACTAAGCACATGTAGCACAAATGTGAGATGCAGCATATGTTAAGTGAAATAAATCAACCAAAAATATAAAAGAGCAGTTTGAATGAAAACTCCTCATATGGAGCTGGGGCACAGAGGTTTTGGAGCAGCTTATTTTGTGGCTTTGGTAATTTGAATTTGAGGACAGTAATAAGATACAATATCACTGCTGCAGCAAGTGCAGCTATCTATTCAAAAACAGCTGGTACCATCCACTTGACTTCTGAGAAAACAACAGACTGCAAGGGATTCTTGTTACTGATGGGGCAAAACCTGGTTAGATTTATCAAAACTGTTATGCTGGTTTAAATTTGTGCAATAATGGTTATGATGTCAATGTCTTTGATCATTCCATATTAATTCTTTCATATATACAGTATGCTCCTACTTCTTTATGGCTGACCTGATTTTCAATTTCAAAGATAAAAATATTAGGGTTCACCTTATTCCATATCCCTCCCTTTTACAAACCTCATAAGTTAAGCCTACAGTATGTCAGATCAGTAAGTCTACCAAGTCGCCATCTTGGAAATATTTCACATTCTCAACAGTTGGCAAACCTGAAGCTTTATATGCAAGAATTGCAGTGTGGCTATGTCAAAGGGAAGAAAAAGAGCATGAAAGGAATAGACTCCAATGACTCTCATCCACCACCAACCAAATCATCCAAATCTGTACAGGTAAGCAAATGAAATCTTGTCACTTGAGAAGAACCAAGAGGAAGCCAGAATCCCACTATGATTGAATCCTATTTCTTATGTAGCTGATGTTGAAGGACAAGCACAAGGCTACCACAGAAACTCTAGATTCAACAACATTATCACCCAAGTGGGTGAAGTTAGACGTACACCAACAGACAATTGACTTAATAATAGGAAAGTACAATGCTTGCAATATACTACAATGTTAATTTTTGTATTAAACACTTCCAGTATATTAGTAGGAAAATTATGATACCTGATGAGCCATACTCACCAGTGGTGCTTGTTAACCCATACCAATAGTTTTAAAATATCAATTAGGCCTGAAAATACAATTTATTTCAATAAAATGAGAGGAAAGATTCAATTTTAGCAAAAACATTCTAAAGACTTTTGAGGCACTACAACTCAAAATGCTTCCACTTCATTCTTCCTACTTTAGTACCTTATTTGGGCATGTGTGATTTTCTCAGGATATTTTTAAGTTCATCATGTGCATGTATTGCACTTGTATTAAAATGTGTAAAAGATCATGGTCGATACCTAAAGCTATGAAGACACTGAACTCTGTCATACAATTATTGCCGTTACTCATATACTGATGATTGTTGTATTCTGTTGTTTACTATACCCATTTTGAATACTGGATTATTGGAAATCAAAACAAATTCCTCATCAGTAATGTTCCTGATTTAAACATCATGAAAAAGAACACAATATGTCTTCTTTAAACACAAACAGTCTCCTCATTTAAACAAGTTGCACAAAGGGGAATTCACTGTCTCCCATGTCATGAGCAATTGACATTTCTTACTGACTGATACATTCTGATAAGCACCCCCAGGCCTCATTCTCCTTACAAGGATTAAAAACTGTTTCTTTCCCTTTACCCTTTTGCTTGAACATCATGTCAGGGATATGGGGAACATGACCCACCTTAAAATATTTTAGTGATCTTATTTTTAGAGGACTGTTTTCTGTCCAGCAACACTTCTAATGGAGGATATTACATAAAAGCTATGTCTTCTTGCCATTTCTTCGAAAAGTAAGGCAAATACGCACCATGGAGAGAAGGATGGGTGAGAGGCAATTGAGCATGGCCTGCATGAGAGTGAGGAGGTCATCTTGGTCCACCTGGAGGGCAGTGACAGTGCGAGAGAGGACCAGGATTCCAAGGTGCTGCAGATGCATCTCTGGAGTTTCACTGACATCTTTCCCAAATGCATCCACAGAGGAGGACATCATCTCTGACAGATTCATGGCCAGCTGGCCTAAGATCTTCCACAAAGCTTTCTCTAGCTCTGTCACACCTGAAATACCTAAGAAATATACAGCAACATAAAAAATTAGAAGCAATGACATGAATGACAAAAAAGCAAGAAATTGGTAGAGAAATTTTTATTTAAAAAATTAGGGAGGAATTCTCCTGAGGTTTAGCAAATTCTTTGCAGGTGAAGCACTTAGCACAAAATAACACTGTCAAGATCATGAAGGTTTCTGTTGAGGATAGATCCTCCCCCTAACCAATCATGAACTGGGAAAGTGACTGCAGTTAATGCAACAATTGCTGTAACTAATACTTGCAAACAGACATCTTTAACCCTAAGACATTTGGAGCATAAGAATATATACTGTATATTGGAGGAATTGTAAGAATTTGATGAGCTAATTTGCACATTGCAAGAGACAGAGCCTAATATTTTGATTGAGCCAAGAAGTAGGATTGATTCCTGAATGCAAAACACAAAATGGGAAGCAGATAGTTCAGTCACCTCAAGAAAATACTCAACTTTCCAATACTTTAGGTTATTTTTTTTTCCTGTGTCATTCCAGAGAGCCAAAATCGCTTATACCAGTTATTCCTAAAACTCAGATAAATATCCCTTCAGCATTTCAAGTGAGACTCAGGTTACATTAAACATTAACTTCCCAATATCATCAACAATACCTAGATGTGATAAGGCATGTACCACTACTCCTTCCTGTCACAATTTTGACCACTACTCAAGATTTGATAAGTGAAGGCATGGAGGAAGACATACACTCAGAAAGGCCCCGGAGCAGAGGATGCTTCTGAGCAAACGGAGTATCAAGGATTGGTCGGATGAAGGACAGGTGTTTCTCCTTGGCAGGGAGCAGGAATGGGAGGACAAAGACAAGGCTATCCAAGCTCAGGTGTTCCATTGCTAGGACAACGGCCTTCAGAGACACAACCCGCCAAGTGCGGTCCCTCAGATGCAGGCATGAGAGCCGCTTCATCTCGTCGAGGAGGGTTGCAGTCTCCAAAAATTTCAGGAGGAGCTCCCCCATTACAAGGACCTTCTCCACGATGAGTGGTTCTTCATCCCGAAGGCAGGACAGCAGGGACCGAGATACAAAGCCTTCCTCTTCCACCTAGGGGGCAAATAGAGACTTGCGTCCATTTAATGGCATTTAATTTACTTCAATGACACCACAGTTCACAGTAAAACAAAACACAGGGCTAACAGTTAAAAAATGGTTTTATGAAATTCAGCAATCATGTTCCATCTGTAAGGTGAATTTTGAATCCAGTGTATCCAGCACAAGATTTTTGAGTTGCTTTGAACCTCTCAGGCTCATGAAAATTCATCTGCTTTCAAAATGTGAGAATCACATTTCTCAAGCAGTAAAAATTAAAGGTCCAAGTTAACTGGATCCAAATAACTGAATTGCAAAAAACTAAAAGACAAAAAATGTTCACAACAGGAACAAATATTGCAAAGGAAGCAATTCCTGATGCAGCAATAATTATTCCTTGGATTGAGTCCATGCTGACCTTTCCCTGACGGATGGCACGTATGAGCCTGTTCACAGCCTCCCCCCGTAAAGTTGCCTCAGGGTGATGAAGTCTGAGAAACCAGTCTGTTTGGGCATTTGGGTCACCCCGCACCACGGTCTCACGTCCCAGAACCACATTGTGAGCTGGGGTGGCACAGTGGGTCACAGCTGCATCAAAGGCCTCCGGATGTCGTTTCTCACATGATACAAGGAGTTCCTTAACTGCAGTGATGGTGGAATCGCTCATGGATTTTACGGCCAAGCCTGAGCAATGCAGAACTTTCCTGAAAAGAGCAGCATGTCAAACTCATAAAGAGATTAAGCCATTATTAAAACAGACCAATTCAAAGAATTCTAGGAAGCATTCAATGGTGATGCTGGGATGTGATATCCAGGATTTTGTTAATATGCAGAGAAGCCCTCTCATGTAAAAATTTTTTTTTAGAAAAGATACTTTTGAAAGTTAAATCCTCCCAAAGCCCCAAGGGCTTCAGATATGTTCCACTTGAACCCTCTTTTTTTTTGGGGGCTCCAATTATCTGCCTTCCTCTCATTCCCTCTTTTTGCATTTGCCTTTCCCCATTTCTTCTTCTGATCAATGTCATGACAAAGAAAGCAATCAGCAATTCCCCAATTTCAAATGAGCTTTGAAAAAACATTAAATTAGTGCTTCTAAATGTTCCTGACATTCATGAATATTCATTGCCATTACTTGAATTTTTTTTTTGGCACCCATTAATTCAGCAATATTGAAGAATGAACAAAATTGTATTTTGTTCAATAGTGATGGATAATGCAGAGGATCAGTATGAACAAGCAGTGCACATGACCCAGGGTTATAGAACAAGACATCAATGAGGTTGGATCCCTGCATGCAAACCTGATTAGGACTAGGTACCACTTGTATTTGCAGACATATTCCTCATCTTCAAAATTGATTTCTCTGTCCTATTCCTTTCTATTCTAATGACCTTCATTCGGATGCATTTAATAGAAGTGAACCATAATCAAGTTTAACACAATGTCTCTGGCCAATCTCAAATTGCAGAATGTTAAAATCCTGCTTTTGTTGGCTCATAATCTTGCTGAATGCAAGATTATGCAGTATGATTATTATTAAGCACTCAAAAACCCCATCTAAATTTATATCCACAACTCCAATTTTGGTTTTGAATCTCTCTCACTACTTGAATTACAGATCCAGAAATTCCCCTCTGAATGTATGATTTGACACTGAAAATGACATGATACCCATTATGGCTCACTAAGCCCCAAAGACTTCTGCTTAGCATGACTGTCTACTAACTGATTAACAAGCATTTCTTAATGCAAGGAAAACCTTTTAACCACATCAGCAAATCATTTTGGATGTCCACATGTCTTAACGGGCCATAAAAGAATAAAACTTCTCCCATCCTCAGCCAAATACATTTCCCAGCTCAAAGGAAGGTGTTATAGCATTAAAAAGTCTTTCTTACACTCAAGTCAAGGAGGGCAAACTACCAAATTCATTACAACTTCCTTCATTCCTTAACTAAATTTGATAACAAATATAAATATTCAAAGGAGAAATGTCACATAGCTACAACTTTAAAAGGCTTTCAATTAAGTGGCCAGGGATGTGGCTTAAAGATGACAGCCAAGAAGTGAAGAAGAAAGACATCAATGCCACTTTCTTCAAATGCCACATTCTTACACTAATGATAATATGAAGTTAATCATGTAAAATTTAATGAGGGCAAACAAGGGATACAGGAACTGATGACCACTAGTAACTTCACCCATTCACATAAGCAATTTCAACCAATGTACTCACTCTATGAAGGTCTGGGCATTGTGCTGTGGAAGTCTGGAGCTCTGGACCAATCTGGCCAGTGCCTGGACATGTGTTCCATCATCTGCTGCTAGATCGATTGAGGTCAGAAGAGAAATCAACAGAGGACCGACAGAAAAGTCAGCAGAGATCGCCTCAAGGGCCTTAGGGATCCCCTCGGTATCGAGCAGCACGGGAAGTGTGTCAGGGGGAAAGACAGAGAAGTCCTGTGACTGACATAGGAGACACAAGAGGGCAACAGCCTCTTCCATCAGTGAAGGATGCAGATTCTGAAAAAAGATCACATCCAGAAGCATGTTATATAAGGCCCAGAGGATCCTTGTAAACCTTCAGACAAGCAGACAGAAAAAACTGCCTAGTAACTCTGACTGAAAACATCAGACTTAAGCATAGTATCATAATAAAACAGCTGTCAGCAGTTAGCAATCCATATTTTCTCCTACATGACATTTCACAATGGGACAGAGGCAAATAGCACAAGGACAACACCCTATCTTAAGGGAAACCTGCATGATGACATTTTCACTTGTAACTTTGATAACTTCATGTATATTTTGATTTCATATTGCCATCAAGACTGTTTAATTGCATAATCAGTGCAAGAGTGTGGTAAGCACTCCTCGGGGGTTAGCAATTTGATAGCACAAAACAGGAGTAACCATCCAGGATTTAGACTTACAATCTGTGCTTCTGGAGAAACCAGGGCTTACTCACAATGCAAGTGGAACATTCTTCCAAACAGAGTACAAAAATGAAAAATAGGTAGAACTTGATGAACAGGAAGATTCACACAAAACATAATCAAATTACATAGTACCAATGGGATGAAAAGCACCATAACACCTATGAGAAACTCCATTTATCTGGAGCTTTTCAGCTGCTGCCATGAAAATGTATAATAGCCTGAATCAGCAAATGAACCAAGACCAAACTCTCACCATAACAATCCTCTGGATGAGTTGATCAATGAAGGTTGTTTTGAGCCTTGTCTGCCGACAGAGTTGGGCCAGGACCATGTAGACACCTGCCACATAATCCTCCAATCCAGACCGCAAACCTTGGATCACCGAAGGCAGCACCAATGCAACCTGATCAAAAAAGAGAGTGACTGTAACAAACTTTCAATTTGTGCATTGCAGGAACTTCATAAATGGCATCCAAGGAACGAAAAAGGCAATACATGTAGAGCATGTGATGCAGACTTAAAGTGACTCACAATTGTGTCCTTGACCTTCTTGCATTCACGGATAGTACCAATGAGAGTAGTCGTGTAGAAACCGATTGCTGTCTGAAGGACTCCTGGATTGATTTTCTTGTGTTTCTGCAATTTTCCAAAAAACAAGATTTCTAAAGAGTTCTTACTCATGAAGTTTGCAGGCCAGAGCCTATTTAGCAAATCCCACATGAATAAAGCTGGCCCTAGGGAACTGTAAATATTGCAGTTTGCCCCTATTGTACCTCATGTTCTCAAAATACATTTTTGGAGAAGAGAAATAAGCTACTCTGAAGGAGCAGACAGCCCACACACTTTGTTACCATTGTCTAACAATACTCCCACAGGAGTTGCTTTTTTGTACTGAATTAAAATCATATTATTGGGAATATTAAGATTCTTTTCTGTCGGGGAATATTCCCCAGGCATGCCAGCAGGCCTACACAATAAGTAATACTAATTAAAAAAATATTAGCCTTCAATTACTTTTCTCGAGGCTGTAAACATTTCAATGTAACTAAAACCCCTGCATGCCAGAATCTCCATTTGCATTTGTATTCATTCTTTTATTAGGGGGAAACAGGTAAGAAGTAAAACAGATATCACCAACAGATTTTAATGCAGCTGCTATAAGTACTCTTGAAGCAGCTCACACTCTCTGTGCAATCTTGGGAAGAAAAAAGACATTTTCATATTTCATTGAAGGTTCACAGCAGTCATACCTTGACTAGCCTGCGCATGGCGTTGCACACCAGCTGGAGGAAGTCAAGGTCAGCAGCACAGCGGTTAAAGAGTACCTGCTTGGAGAGAGGGATCCCCTCCCGTCCAAGAGGACTCAGCCATGCCCACTGGCCCTCCAGGCGGATCATCTGCACAGCTCTTACAAACAGTCGTGTGTCATGATAAGGGAGGATGCAGGCCAACAAGCCATCCTTGTTGAACTCGTGGATGTAAAACCTGTCCAGCAAAAACATTAATCTTAAAACATTCCCAATGATATCAACATTTGATGCCAATTACATTTTTTTCTGTGAACCCCATAAGTAAAAGTCTGCAGGGTGGAAAAACTCAGAAAGAGAAGACCCACTGATTAAAGTAACATTAAAATATTGCAGCACATAGCTACATAGTGGAAATAATTGGTCCAAGCATTCTGTTTCTCAACTTTTCAAGAAGCAATTGTATACCAACTATGGAATTGAACAGTAACACTTACATTACCATTGCCAATCTAAGACAAAATTGGCAAAAACTCAATGTAGAATTACAAGAACTGGGGTAATTTTGTACAGATTTTAACAAGGTAATAAATGCTACAGAAAATAGCATCTGAAAGCAATGGGAAAAATTCATTGGACTACAATATTGATCAATTCAATTTCAGAAGCATTAATTTGCAAATCTACATAAGTATCAAGTCACTCCATAATATATTCTTGAACAACAAAACCATGAATATTGTGAACCCTCAGATGCATAGATTTGGCAGGTATTTTCTATCTGATAGATCTGACTAAGCATTTATCAGCTGACTACTTTTTCTCATTCCCTACCTGCATGTCAGGGAGAGGAGCAATTCAAAGTACAAACATGATTTTAAACTTATTTACAATGAGAAAATATATAGAAGAATCTAAGTTTCAACAATACAGTGCAAATACCCATTTAACCTCAACCTTGACTGTGGATGCAAACAAGTCACTCCACCATGCAAGTATGTCACAACCATGTCACTCCACATGGCAACCTGGCTCTAGAATGCTGCCCCAGATAAAATTTCTAGCCCAAGAACTATGAGCAAGCATATGCAGCATTTGACTACATTTTTGTATTACTGCTTTTGTCACTAAATCACTGAAACAAGAGACTTAAAGAGGTAAAGCTAGTTAAAATCTCACCTGTGGACAAGCCATTCTAGAGCCTTGTGAGCTGGCTTGAGGAGGAAGTATGGGGAGAGGAGGAGTAGGAAGTCATTAATGATCTTATCCAATTTCTTATTGTCCTCTGAAGTCTGCACAGCTCGCTGGAATGTCTTAGAGGCTTCATTAAACAAAGTTGCTTCAAAGCCTCGAAAAGCTGGGTTCAAACCAACGAGCTCCTCAAACCCACTGACACCTATGGAAAGAGTAATGGAAGCTAATCATCAATGAATAGTTGACACAAAAAAACCTGACAGTCACAGTAATAAACATTGGAATTTACTCCCAGTGGCAGGTCTGATTCATGGAATGAACCACGTATGAAGGTAATTACATAAAAACTAATTGTCTTAATTTAAACATTTGACATAAATCAGCATTTCCATCAGGATGCTACTTGCGAGGATATGTGTAGATAAGCTATTCCACCACAGGAACAATTGAATTTGGATGATAACCATGACAGGACTGAGTTCATTAAATTTTGTACATTATTTTCTTTTTGAATAAAGCATAGGTATATAATAGCTTTCAGCATGTCTATACAATCACAAACTGATGCCAACTTCCAACAATTAAGACCTTATATCATCAGCTTACCAATTGCAAATATGACATCCCGGTCAAGTGCCGCTGCTTCATTGGGATCAAACAGGAAGGAAGCCTTCCTTAAATCCCGACTCAATAAAGATGTCTGTGGCACAGCCAAGCGCTTCAGCTGCTGTGCCAGAGATGTCGCCATCATGGAACCTAAGAAATACAGCCAGGCTGTACCGAATTCACAATCACCTGCAATGACTCATACAAAGACTAGTTAAGTAGCCTAGGTCTCACACCATTGCTATGCTTTCTGCCTCAATTCTACATATTTTCACTTGAGCCTGATAAGTTTCATGACTGATAACAAATATATTGCACAAAAGTGATGCACAGCCTGTCATGGTTATATTAGGCTCAATTGTAAAAAAAAGTTTATATCTATAGAAAGCAATGCATAATGAATAATGAATGATTCTGCCACCTCAAAGTAGTAACTATCTCCTACTCTTCTCATTACCATAAAAATATGTAGACTGCTCACAAAATGAACATTATAGGCCTAAGCCTTTTTTTTTCCAAAAGCAGTTGAGCATATCAGGCTTTTGCCACTTGAAGAAATCAGGAATTAATAAACAACTGCTTGAATTGCTTGAACTTTAGAATACGTTCCCACGCCCTTGGGAGCAAATAAGTATTAGTATCATACTTATATCTATATGGATATATTGGGAATATATTTCTCGACGGCGCATGGACGGTGTTTCGTGCAGAAAACGCTAGAAACTCCTCACATATCTTGGACCTTGGCAACCCCGAGCGGCCATGTTACACGCTCCGCCCATGCCCCTGCATCTGCTAGCACATTTCATGGCCTTCCTGGGCATGCGAGCTGTATTCGGGTCGAGGTCGGTCCTCCCGCGGACTGACCCGACTCTCATGGCACGTTTTACTACGCCCTTCCGGTCTAGTCTTCATTCAAGTGAGACCAGTCATTGCACTAGCATAGTAGGTGGACCTCCATTATTTTCTCCCAGGTTCGGTGTCAAAGGCCAAAGAGTGGGAAAACAAAATGTGCTAATCAAGCGATGCGCTTATCTTTTTCGAGCACCAATCGTTACAGAGGAACATTATGCATCAGTCTCAGGTGGTCTTGAAAAAATCTGGGGTGGGAACGGATTCTAAACGTGTTCCGAATCTGCTAAGCTAATTCTGAATGACTTGTCATAGGAATCAGTCCCATGACCCACTGCATATTGTCATTTATCACTGACATCAAGGGGATTACACTTCAGACTATTCACCAATGGTAGTATATTCTATCATTATATTCACACAAAAAATCAAGGATGATTATGTTTTCCTGAAATTTGCTGCCACCATCCTAGCACTAAGTGACAGGTAAAATAGTCAGCTCCAAAACAGAAATAGGGAAGGTCCTCAATGCTCAGTTTACAGCAGTCTTTATGCTAGAAATGCATAACCAAACCAATCCCATCTATATCAAATAGACATTCCCCATACATACCACTTGTTACCAAGGAAAGATTTTGAAAACTGCTTAGAGATGATGGTGATCCCTTCCTGACAACACTTCATAATAGATATTTGATGTGAGAGAGCTGTTCTCATATAGGAAAACAAAACCATGCACATGGTTCCATGTAAAAGCAAAAAGTTCAACCAACAGGACATCCTTACCAACACACAGCACGAATCCCACAAGTTATTTATGCATAATACAACAATGCTGAAGCATACATGACTGAGCAAAAGTATTATATCAGTGTGCTCAGACAGGTTTAAGGGCCTAGGATTTCTCAAAGGCTCTTGACTCTGTGCCCTGTGAGAAACTGCCAACCAAGTTAGCCTACAACAGAGTCTGTGGCTATCTCTTACACTGGTCAAGAGATTTATTGGTAAGACACAGATAGATGGTAATTCTAAATGAGCCAGAAAAATCAGGAGTCCCTCATGGTTCAAAATCAAGAAGAGTTCTTAATAAATCCAGGGAATGATACATGATATGGCTCTAAGGGTTCAAGTCAATCAAATGTGAGATCTAAGTGATTCACAACTATATTGCCTTCAATATTGTGAAGGTCACTTCCATATTGCATGCAAGGAAGCGAAATTACTTCATAAAATGGTATTAGGCCTATGATTCTCATGACATGTACAAATGACACGTTGGCATTGGCGTTGAAAGGAGAGACCTATACTAGGCCTAAAATGCCTGAATCGGTGTCCAGAGCAGGTCTGTTTGACGACCTGCAATATTCTAACGGTGTAATAACGATAGGCAATAACTATGTGCAATTATCACCCAGCTTTCATATGTCAAAACTTTTGGCCGAGTTCTGTACATTCATCGTGAAAGATCGGTCCACGTGGTAATGCAGGCTTCTTTTGCTCCGAGTCACTAAAGGAACTTCACGTTATGCAAGGCGCACAGTTGCAGATAGAGTATTCTTTTTCTCCTCAAATGAATGCACGAACACTTGTCTTTTCTAATGCAGCTCCCTGAGAATGAGAAAAAATCCAGGAAGACATCCACCGGCCTAGCACGTGTTACAGGGCGAAGGCTTCCTGATGTGACGTCACTGGCAAGGATGCCGGAGCCCGCAGGAACATTTAAAGAAATGGACTCGAGAGGGTTTGCAACTTCCAGCATCGCGTGAATTAGTTTGACGAGCAGATGTGGGAAATTGCGTAATGCCAGCAGAGGCAATAGGGGGCTGTAGGGTAGGTATTTAAAGGTCAAATTGAGATTGATCAAAGGATTCTACTGTGAAAAAGGAATCCAGAAGGGAGAGATGAGGCGATGCAGCTCAGACTGGAAATGACGGGACGAGGAGAAGCACGCAGAGACCTCCGAGCAGCGGTGAGTCGTGAATCATTTCGTGAAACAGAAACCGTCTGGCATTTTCACACCTATTAGTCCAGTGGTTTTCAATTTCCAAATCATCGTTATAGAGCGCAAATCGCTTTTAAACTTTTCCAGCATTGCTCAGCTTGCGTATAGGGAAGCCTCGATCAGGCCTCAGAGGAACGTCTGAGAACTCTCTGGCCGAAAGGTGAAATTTCATCGATCGATGACATTTCATGTGCAAATCGGCGAGGCCTTGGTGTCCTCCCGATGGGCGCGAACCACATGCTAAAGCTTTTGCCAGTGCAAAAAAAATCCTCGATCGAGTGCTCCGGCCCGGAGGATGGGAATTGTGAAATTTCAGCGAGAACTCGTTTCTGCAAAATTATTAGATCGATGCAAATTTTGCGACAGCGAATTCATTTGCAAAAATTGAAAGGGTTCAGCGCATTCGTAGGGCTCGAAAGCAATCTCAACCGGTCGTAAAAGCGTTGGGACTTGGATTTAACCTGGCAAAATCTCCGGTCACGAGGAACCGGAAGTTTTCATCGAGTCTAAATTCTGAGAACTTTTATTTTTAGTTTTAACAAGGGATTTGGACCGCGCATCGCGAAAAAATCCCATAGGAATCGCCGCACCTGCTCGCAGCAAGAAAAAAAAAAAGATAGCAAAAACCGCAATAAGGCGTAAAAACTGCGGAGACCAAGCCGCCGTCGAGGATTTCCGCTTTCCCCACTGCGATTCCCAACATGAATCTTTTTCTCGTCTTCGCCGCGTCCGCGAGCATTCTCCGATTCGTCGACGCACGTGAGTCCAACTGGAATCGACCGACACGAGCTGAGCTCACTACCCGTGTTTCAATCATGTTTGAGCTATATTTTGCTCGATTCATTTTTATTCCGGTCATATTTATTTAAGTCTCGAAGGTCGGCCTGTAGAACCCTGGAAGAATGCTTTCTTTCAACGATCTTCACTGAAAGAAACGAACTCGAGGCAAATCATTCCAATCCTTTTCCCCGTGTTCGTAATAAACCAGTCCTGCGGAGTCCCGCATGAGAAACAAGTACGAGAGTACTAAAATTCTACAACGATCGAAGGCCTTGCTTTAACTCTTTCGATAAAAAAAAGACTGGATTTCTCTATTTTAAAAAAAAAATCAAATATTTAAAAAATAATACATAAATAATAAATAAATAAACAATAAAAAAAGAATAAAGGGGGACATTAAAAGCAATCCAATCGAGACACATTTGAACCGACGAGAATTTTGACCCACGCGCATTTGTGGATCGCCCGTTCAGGGGAAGCACCCGGACTCGGGGAGCCGTGCGAGCCAGGCGTGGACACCTGCCAGGACTGGAACGCGGAGTGCGTCAGCGAAGACGGAGGCGGCTTCACCTGCGAGTGCGTCCAGGGATTCGTGCAGGATGGGGGAAACTGCAGTGAGATGGCTTCTTTTTTATTTCCCATTCGGCTTGGATTTCCTGGGGGTTTCGGCAGTTCCTGGGTGGAATCGGGACGGACGGAACGATTAGGGAATCGGATCGGATTCTCCTTGGGGGTTTTCTCGGCTGCATCTCGACCATTCTTTAAAATAAATTTTAAAATTGAAAATCCGTTTTTTTTTGCGTCTGGTTGACTTAACTGTGAGTCTTCGAGGTCATGACTGCAAAATTGGTATTGGTCAAATTAATTTTTTAATTACTTAGATTTAATTTGAAATTCCGTTTATTTATAACCGGAGGTTCTCGAGTCCTTTCGCGATATCATGAAAATCCTTAGGAAACACCACACTCACGGATCGAGGCGTCTCAGAGGCCACTAAGGATTTCGCTTTCTCGGTTTGCTGCAACTCCGGAAATGAATTTTTTCCTTGTGTTCCTTGCGTCTGCATATAATAAGGCCATATTGACTTAAGAAACATTTAATACATTTCGAAGGTCGGTCCATAAAACTCTGGAAGGATGTTATCGTTCGAAAACCTTATAGGAATTAATTTGAGGCAAAAAAAGGGCAAAATTTTTCTGTCGTTTTCCTCCTAGTTAGTAATTAACCGATCTCTGCAGCCTAGTCCCGACGACAGAAGACAGGTAAAATTACCAGAAAGTACTGAAATCCGGCAGTGATTGAAGGTTAAATTAATTTACAAAAATTTGCTTGGTTTCTCTAACGTGGGAATTGAAAGCATTGAAATAGAGAAACGTTTGAACCGACAAGAATCTGTGCTGCATGCTCAGGAGAAGCACCTCCACTCGGGGAGGCATGCGACCCTGATGGGGTTCCGTGTCAAAACATCGACGCCAAAACATCGAAACGACAGAACATCGACGACGAAACATCGACGCGACAAAACATCGACGGGACAAAACATCAACATGACAAAACATCGACGAGACGATACATCGACCAGGCAAAACATCGACGTGACAATACATAGACGAAATGAAACGTCGACAAGTTTTTTTTTTCCCTCAGATTTTTTTTTGAGATCGCTACTGTTACGCATCTTCCGCAGGGCCTTGCTGCAATCGACTATCAATCCAGGATGACTGATAGAAGTCAGGTTGAGGATGGCATATTGGCTTCGGCAAGCAATTTGATGCTATTCATCCGTCTATAATGTATT